AGAAGGCAATGACGACTCAGCTCTGCTTCTCACTTGCCTTGAAAGCCCCTTGCTGTAAATACATAGAAAGTGTTGGGTGCGATTTCCTGATGTGTCTGATGTGATTGCCCCCCCCAGTTTATTTATAGGAAGTTTTTATATTTTGTTGTTGTTCAGTCGCACAGTCGAGTCTGACTCTTCACAACCCCATGGACCAGATCACGCCAGGCCTTCCTGTCTTCCGCCGTCCTCTGAAGTTTGCTCAATTTCATGTTCGTTGCATCGATGACACTTTCTAACCATTTCCTCCTTTGCCGTCCCCGTCTTCTTTGACCTTCAATCTTTCCCAGCATCAGGGTCTTCTCCAGTGAGTGATCCCTTCTCATTTGGTGGCCAAAGTATTTGAGCTTCAGTTTCATTATCTGGCCTTCCAGGGAACAGTCAGGGGTGATTACTTTTAGGATTGACTGATTTGATCTTCTTGCAGTCCAAGGGCCTCTCAAGAGTCTTCTCCAGCATCATAGTTCAAAAGAATCTATTCTTCGGCGCTCGGCCTTCCTTATAGCCCAACTCTCGCAGCCATACAGCTCTTGGAAGCTAAGCAGGGTTGGCTCTGGCTGGGCAGTATTCAGATGGGAGATCTTCAAGGAATACCAGGGTTGTGACATGGAGGCAGGCAATGGCAAATCACCTCTGAATGTTTCTTGCCTTGAAAACCCCTATGGGGTCACCGTCACCATAAGTCAGCTGTGACTTGACGGCCCTTTCCACCACCCCCACTATTAAAACTGTGACCCCCCCTGCAGTCAGCAGTGGTTCTACCACCTGTTGTCTGTGTAGAGCAGGCCTTCGGCTTCCATGGTGGTTTTATGCCTGCCCAAAGAAGGACTTCAAAGAGCTTGCTTGGGTCAGGTGGAGAAGGAGAAGACAGAATGGTTCCATGAGCCCTTAAATGAAATGAAAGCAGGCCAGATCTTGCCTTTCACCTGGATCATCAAAACTCCTTCCCTGGAATGCGACACACCATCAAGTCCAGTTGTTCAGACTAGCTAGGTTTTAAGAAGAAGAGGAGGAGGAGGAGGAGAGTTGGACGGGAGCTCCAGGGTCATCTAGTCCAACCCCCTAAAAAAGAAGGAGGAGGAGGAGATTGGATTTATACCCTGCCCTTCACTACCCGAAGGAGTCTCAGAGCGGTTTATAATCTCCTTTCCCTTCCCATCCCCACAACAGACACCCTGTGAGGTAGGCGGGGCTGAGAGAGCTCTATTGACAACTGCTCATGAGAGAACAGCTCTGAAAGAACTTGTGACTGACCCAAGGTCACACCAGCAGCTGCATGTGGAAGAGTGTGGGGGTGGTCAAGCCCAGTTCTCCCAGATTAGAGACTGTGCTCCTAACCACTACACCAAACTGGCACAACATCTAGGTGGTTACAGAAGAGCTGAAAGGAAAGGAGACCCAGGGTGGTGCAGTGTTCCCTCTAAGCTGAGTTAGTGTGAGCTAACTCACAGTTTCTTAGCCTCCGGCTCACACATTTTTGTCTTAGCTCAGGAAAGATGGCTCCAGAGCAAACTAATTTCTGCAGAAGCCAAATCGCTCGCTCACAACTTTAATGCCAGTAGCTCACAAAGTAGGATTTTTGCTAATAAGACTCCAAAGCTTAGAGGGAACATTGGTGTGGTGTAGCAGTTAGGAGTGCCGAACTGCTGTCTGGGAGACCCGGGTTTGAGCCCCCACTCGTGCCATGGAAGCACACTGGGTGATCTTGGGCCAGTCACACTTTCTCAGCCTAATCTACCTCACAGGGCTGTTGTGAGGAGGACAAGATGGAGGAGAGGAGAATGATGGAAGCCATGCTGGGTCCCCACTGGGGTGAAAGGCGGGGTATAAATTAAGTAACTAGATAAATAAAAGTAGAGCTCCTTTTCTTTCCAGCTGCTTCCATGTTTATTTATGAGAGCCGTAATCGTTATTATCGATTGCAAATGCCATAGCCCAAGTAGCAGTGACTGTTTTTCAGATCAGCTCGTCCATGTGAAAAAGCAGGAGGATCTATGTGTCTTTCTTCCCTGAGGGTTTTAAAAGCATGCCTCAAATAAGGCAGTTTATTTTGGGTGGATGGCTTCCATTTGGCTGGTGCTTGCGAGATGGCACATGCGCCCTGAGCTGAACCCGCACAAAATATCTGCCCAGTTGCCCATCGGGCACAGATGTCGTAAGACCTGGCGTGCGCCATGCTGCCTAGATCGTCTGTGGTATTGCAAGCCATGGCATTCCGTTACGCGTCACAGAGGAATAGCTGTGTCCCCTACCCTCGGTGTGGCTTGACTGTTGATATGGAGCAACGGGCTTTGTTGGGTAATCTGGCCCCTCTTGGACATGGCCGTCTCGAAATGTGCTTGGGGACAAGCCCAGCATGATGCTTTAGGATTAATACTCCCTGCCAGTTCTTGCTCCTGCTTCCCTGCGAACAACTGGATCGTTGCCTGGGCAAAAATAGGCCTTCTCCTGCAGTGGAAACGTGCCTTGCAAAATTTGGCAGCATAACAAGCTACATATTTGTTATGAGCCTTTTCTGATATAAGGTGGTATTGTGCTTTGAGAAGACAAATAAAATTAATTTTAAAAAAAAGATTTGGCAGCCTCTGGGGAGTTTGGGTTTCCAACCTCCAGGTGGTGGCTGGAGATCTCCTGCTATTACAACTGATCTCCGGGCAACAGAGATCAGTTCATCTGGAGAAAATGGTTGCTTTGGAAGGTGGACTCTGTGGCACTGTAACCCACTGAAGACCCTCTCCTCCGCAAACCACACCCTCTTCAGGCTCCACCCCCAAAATCTCCAAGTATTTCCTAACCTGGAGCTGGCAACCCAATGGGGAGCAGAGTCAGCATAGGGCTCTTCACGTAAGAACATAACATAAGAACATAAGAGATGCCAGTGTTGGATCAGGCCAAAGGCCCATCCAGTCCAACACTCTGGGTGCGTTCAGACGCAGCCTTTACAACGGATTCTGTGCCGGTTGCAATCGATGTACCTACCGGCGTTCAGACGGGGAACATCTGTCTTCCCTCTCTATCCGTTGTAAAGAGCTTTAAACCGTTGTACTCTGCCACTAGGTCGGAAGTGGTGGTAAACAGAGTGCAACGGTTGTCATCGGTGCACCCCGGCGTCTGATCGCTCTCCTCTGTTACAGAGACACTTCCGTCGGAAGCCTGAGGCTTCCGGCTTTCCCCCGCCATTTTTTTTAAAGAGGAAGCGATATGCGCTCAGGCGAAGCTTCGCCCTGAGCGTTTGTTTTAAAAAAAATAAAAATGCCTCACTTTAACTTCCCGGAGGAGTCCAGGACTACAGCGAGGCCAGGTTGGGTTTTAAACTTTAAAGGTAAGTGCTTACCTTTAAAGTTTAAATGTAAGGGGGGGGTTGAGCATGCGCAAAAATCGGCATTCTCTGAATGGCTGCCTATGCGCATGCTCAAACTGTCCTTTTAAAAAAAAACCCACACACGCAGACGCCCGCAGCGTGTGAGTGGGCGTCCACCGGAGGGCTTCGCAAAATGGAGGTGAGTGTGATCGCGTTTCTGCCGGCATAAACTGCACCGGTTCCAACCGGCAGAAAGGCCGCGTCTGAACCGGGGGAACTGTGTCACACAGTGGCCAGAAATACCAGTGTCATCAGGAGGTCCACCAGTGGGGCCAGGACATTAGAAGCCAGTGAGGCCAGGACACATCATAGGGTTGCCAGCTTCCAGGTGGGACCTGGAGATGTTTCACTTTTATAATTGATCTCCAGACTACAGAGATCTGTTCCCCTAGAGAATGGATAGACTCTGGAAGGTAGACTCTATGGCACTGTACCTGGCTGGGGTCCCTCCCCTCTCCAAATTCTGCCCTCCTCAGGCTCCACGCCTCAAAAATCTCCAGGTGTTTCCCAATCAAGAACCTGGCAACCATATACATCAATTAATTTTAATTTGGGGAGGGGGATTTCCCCCCCCCCATATTTCTTCTGCACCAAATCCAAAGACAGGGGAAGGCTATGGCCCAGTGGTAGAGCCATCTGCCTTGTTTGAAGAAGGTCCCAGGTTTAGTCCCCAGCATCTCCAGTTAAAATAACCAGGTAGGAGGTGATGTGAAAGACCTTGACATGAGAACATGGGAAATTCACTGCCACAGGAAGTGGTGGCAGCTACAAGCATGGACGGCTTCTAAAGGGAATTAGATAAGCATATGGAGCAGAGGTCCATCAGTGGCTATTAGCCACAAGGTATTGATAGGGACTCTGGGGCAAGTGAAGCTCTGTCTTCTTGGTGCTTGGGGGGGTCAACAGTGGGAGGGCTTCTAATGTCCTGGCCCCACTGGTGGACCTCCTGATGGCACCTGGTATTTCTGGCCACTGTGTGACACAGAGTGTTGGACTGGGTGGGCCTTTGGCCTGATCCAACATTGGCATCTCTTATGTTCTTATGTTCTTATGAACCTGGAAAGCTGCTGCCAGCCAGAGTAGACAATACTGACCTTGACAGACCAATCGTCTGATTCCGTATAAGGCAGCTTCATGTGTGTACCTTAACACTGAGCTGGAGACAGACAGTAGTTTCTATTAGAGAAGAGAAAATAGTTTGAAAGGACTCATTTCCCATAAAGATATGCAAACTTTTTTTTTTTTTTGCTTCTGGTGAAACAGGTTTGAAAGGTTTGGGGAACATTATAAGAACCTACAATACCTGTTGGATGAGTGTACACACCACAACCAGCCATTGTTCTTTTACGCTGCCGTTAAACCTCTGGAAAGCTCAGATCTGTCTCTAGCCTGCAGTTCCTTAAACTCTGGGGTCTGTGGTGACGGCTCCCTTTATCCCAGAAAAGATGCAAAGCGAGGAACAAACTGTTTCTCTCTCCCACCCCCGCTCTGCTTTTGTCTTGTGGGGGCAGGGAGTTGGGTGACCCGCTTCAAGAACCTTTGGTTAGAAAGGCAGACCGAAAATGTTGAAAATAAAAAATATGTTCTGCTTCCTTTCCAGATGGCCTTGTTGATGTGCTGCAGGCGTTTGGTGTGCGGGAGGGCAAAAACGGGGTCTCTATCACTGCGGGGATCTGCACGCAGAGGAATGGATCGGAGGACAGCGACCTGGCCTTCCGCCTGGAGAACCAGACCCACTTCAATGTCCCCACCAGGCAGCTCTTTCCAGGTAACGAGAGAACAGGACATTCTGAGAGAGAGAGAGAGGGCATATTGTATCAGAGCTGATGGGCAAAGTTAGAATTATCCAGGGGTCGTTTCGTAGAAAAAGAGCTAGGGGAACTCACTAGCATAACTCATTAGCATATGCCACACCCCCTGACATCACCGGAAGTGTGTCGTAAGGCCACACCCCCTGACATCACCGGAAGTGTGTCGTAAGGCCACACCCCCTGACATCACCGGAAGTGTGTCGTAAGGCCACACACCCCGCCCCCAACGGTCCTGGCTGCCGCCGCCGGCCTTGCAGCTCCACTGCTGAGCCCCATGAGGGGCCCGGCGGTGGACCTGCAAGGCCGGCGGGAGTGCAAGGAAGCCCCGCGAAGGCCCTTCCTGGCCCCAGGCAGGCAGGGGTGGGGAGAGGCAGGGAGGAAGCAACTTACCCTCCCTCTTCTCCTGCCTCCTCCTGGCTGAATGAGGGCCGGAAGCGGGGCGGCCGGAAGCAGGGGGCGGGGCTTCGTCTTGTGCCCCGCCCCCGGACCTCACCCGGGGGAACTGCGATCCCCCGTGATCCCCCCCGAATTGACCTCTGGAATTATCTGCAAGGACATGCAAAGGTTGACAACCTCCAGGTAGGGCCTGCACATCTCCCAGAATAACCACTGATATCTAGACAACAGAAACTGGTTTCCCTGGAGAACATGGATGCTTTGGAGGGAAGACTCCATGGAGACCAAGTCCTAGGAGGAAAGGCTGAAGGAGCTGGGTATGTTTAGCCTGGAGAGGAGACGACTGAGAGGTGATATGATCACCAGCTTCAAGTACTTGAAGGGCTGTCATATAGAGGATGGTGCGGAGTTGTTTTCTGTTGTCCTGGAAGGTCGGACCGGAACCAACGGGTTGAAATTAAATCAAGAGAGTTTTCGGCGAAACGTTAAGAAGAACTTCCTGACAGTTAGAGTGGTTCCTCAGTGGAACAGGCTTCCTCTGGAGGTGGTGGGCTCTCCTTCTTTGGAGGTTTTCAGACATGCTGGTTCTGTGAACTTTGGCAGATCATGAGAGGGAGGGCAGGAAGGGTTGCCTCAGTGCTTACTTCTCTTGGCCCTTTCTTACATGCCCAGGGAAATGCTGATTGCCATTTTGGGGTCAGGAAACAATTTTTCTCCAGGCCAGTTTTGCCAGAGATCCTGAAGGGTTTTTGCCATCTTCTGGGCATGGAACAGGGGTCACTGAGTGTGCTTGTGGGGGGGAGGTATTTGCGGATTTCCTGCATTGTGCGGGGGCTACCCTGGAGGTCCCTTCCAACTCCATGATTATATGATCCATGATATGCCACTGAGGTCCCTGCCCTCCCCCAGCTCCACCCTCAAATCTCTAGGGATTTCCCAACCCACAGCCAGGACTGTATTTGGGGGTAATTTCAGGCTGAATGATACATTTCTCCACAAGTCAGGTTGAGATTATCCCCAATCGACTTGGATCTTTTTTGAAAAATTAGATATGGGCTGGTGGGAAATAAGGTGCCAAGGGTGCCAGAACCTGAGTCAGATCGGGACCATGATGCGGGGAGAAGAGTGGCTTCGGCTTTCCTCCCTGCGCCATTTTTCTGTCCCCAAATAGCTCTGGGGAGTCTCACCAAATAGCCTCTCTCCCCGACCTGGCTGGTGGAGAAACAGGTAGTCTGTTTTGAGTTAAAGTGGATTGTCTTTAAGTTTACGTTGATGTTTGCACCTGAAAATGTGAAGCATAAATGCAAACCTGCACATCACACAGGATTTTGCCCGAACTGGTTGACCTGGGTTTGCCTTGCATACTGTGAGGGACAGCCTTAGCGTATTCAACACGGCAGGTTATTTTATATGCACAGCTCATCTCTCTCTTTCTCACTCTCTCCTCTTGGCTGCCCGTATGTCCCCTCTTCCTCTCACCGCTCCAGGGAATCTCGTCGCCTTTTCATCTCCTTTCCCCGACTCCTTATCTCCATGCTCTGTACCCCGGACATGTTCTTCCTCTCACAAGAACAAGCTACTTCCTGGCTTTGGCTGAAACACCTCAGCCGGTCTGAATCCCCAGCCGCAACTGAACTGCGTCATGCCTCATGCTTGCTACTCATCCATTAATCCATGACCTCCCCGCCAATCTCTGGTGCATCATGAAATGTAGATTGGGAAGCCTTTGAGAAAGGTCTGCAATGCTTACATCTTGCGTTACATGGGATTGTGGTTTCTAAACAAACCCCAGTCGTCCTAGGAGTATGTGCTCCACGCTTGGTTTTTTCTAATCCATTATTTTTTTTCAAGAAAGCCTTGGATTCTGTGGTTTATATAAATTATGTAGTTTGGCACATTTGCATATGTTTGTGTTGCACCATTTCTTCTGCTTCTTCCAGCCCTGTGGGAGATATAAGAAGCTAGACATGGTGGAGGACGGCTGGATGTGAGTCCATTAGCACTTTGAGACCAACAAGATTTGGGAGATACGAGCTTTTGTCAGTCAGAGATGCCTTCGTCATAGGGTTGCCAGGTCCCCTCGCTGTACCGGCAGGGGGATTGGGGGGGGCATTCTGGGATATTGCCAATGCAGTGATTTCACCCGGAAGTGACATCATCTTGTCAGCAACGTCACATGATGACACTCTGGTTTATGAGCAAGACTCTATGGTTTTAGGCCAAATTTACCCTGGAGTTTTGCATTGTGTGCTCTAGAGGCCCCCAACCCGCTGGCCCGGATCCGGCCACCGGGGGAACCCCACCCCCAAAGTGCCAGAATTGGGCCGATGTGCCTGGCAGGATGATGTAACCTGGAAGTTACATCATCACGCCGGGCATGTCATCGGGGGGGGGGGCGCTCTAGCATTTGGTATTAAAACTCTATGGTACCAGACACAGAGCTTCCAACCCCTGCTGGATGCCAGGCAACCCTAGACGTCCTAGACCTGGCAACCCTAGACGTCCCTAGACCTGGCAACCCTAGACGTCCCCGATGTGATGACATCACTTCCGGGTGATGTCATTGTGTGGGGGACATTGCGCCTGGATGTGGCTGTTTGGGGGTAGGGTTCCCCCCACTGGCCAGCTGGCCGATGGTGGGCAGACACCCCGGAAAGCAGGGGAACCCCCACTGGGACCTGGGGACTGGCAACCCTACTTTATCAGAAGCTCTATTGGACTCAAATCTAGCTGTTCTATTGCAGACTAGTATGGCTGCCGCCTGAAACTTTATACGGGATGTAGAATCCCTGACTCCTGGCTGCTGGAAATCCTACCTGACCCTTTCTGACTGCTGACATTTCAGTAGACATAAGTCCTTAGGGCCTACCAGGACCTGGTTGCTGGGAGAAAGATTTTACGCATGGACTGTATGGGAATATAGCCTGGTTTTCACTGAAAGCCAGACCACGTGTGATTTGGAATACCAGGACTGGCTCTCCCAGAGTACTTTTTGGCCTACAAAGCAGCTGCAGGGCTCTCTGATTTGGATCGGGAGCAGGGGTCATTTCCTGCAGGAGTGTACAGGAACGGAGCTCCGGCAGTAAAGAGCCCAGGGGGCGGGCACATGCAACAAGCCCCACCCCTGGTCCCAGCAGCCCTCAGTCAGAGCAAGAAGCAGCCAGGTAAGTTGCAGAGCCCCCCCCCGGCCCCCCGGTCCAAAACAGTCCAGTGGCACCTTTAAGACCAAGTTTTATTCAGGTACAAGCTCTCCCTCCTCTGTGAGGACAGATCTGCACACCCCCCTCCAAATAGCTAGCAATCCAAAACAGTCCAGTGGAGCCTGAGCGGTGGGTGTTGCCTTCTGACACACTTCCGGTGATGTCAGGGGGTGTGGCATATGCAAATGAGTTATGCTAATGAGCTCCTGCACCTCTTTTTCTACGAAATGACCCCTGCGACCAGTCAAGCATTTTTGCATTTAGGAGCAGAAACGACAGACGCCATCGGGGTCAGATCCTGTGAAGCCGCATGCTCTATTACTGTGGTTAGCCCTGGCGGAAGGAAAACGGCAGCCAGCTTTTGCCTGTCTTTTTATCCCTGCTGGGGACCTTTAAGTGAGGGAAATGGCGGGGGAGGGGGGAGTCAACACTTCATGGCACAATGCCAGGACCTTGGTCCCATTCAGTTCCCAGTGTCTGCTTTCTAAAAACATAAAAACAAAAACATACCAGGGGGTGGGGGGAATCTCCAGCATAATGTATAGTTGGGTCTGGAGATGACAAACCTGTGCTTGGTCTCTGACCTAGGGTTGCCAGGGTTCCTCTGGCCACCAGCAGGGGATGGGGACATAGGGTTGCCACCTCCAGGTTGGGAAACTCCTGGAGATTTGGGGGTGGAGCCTGGGGAGGACAGGGACCTCAGTAGGATACAAGGCCATGGAGCCCAACCTCCAAAGCAACCATTTTCTCCAGGGGAACTGATCTCTGTATTCTAGAGATAAGCTGTAATTCCGGGGGATCCCCAGTTCCCACCTGGAGGCTGGCAAGTAGAGCAGAGGTGTCAAAATCATTTGTCACGAGGGCCAGATCTTTGGGCCAGGCCATGTGTGCCATAAAATGTAATGCCAGGTGGCAGAGAGAGGAACTTTATAAAGGACAGCAGCTTGTAAGCTCCGAGCAAGGCCCCCTGGAGTGGGAGGGGTCTGCAGAGAAAAACCCACATGGGCAGACTGGAGAGGCAGTAGTGCAGTGCTGGGCAGATACCCCCAACCATGCTTGACTGCGTCAGATAAAGCCACAATGGAGTGGCTCCTCCCACTCCCCCAAGCGCTCCCTCCCTTGCATCAGTTGCTCATGGGTCACATAAGAGCCTTGGATGGGACGGTTCTGGCTAGGGTTGCCAAGTCGTTTCTCAGCTGCATCGGGGGACTCCTGGGCGGCGACTGGAGTGCACGTGTGCCGCACGCACGTCACCCGGAAGTGACGTTACGACACCGGGCACGCTGGGGGCGGGGCCACAACCATCGGAGGGAAAACCATAGAGTTTTCTCTCCGATGTCGGGGCCCTGCCCCCAGCATGCCCGGCGTCGTCATGTCACTTCCTGGTGACGTGCACATCGCGGTAGGGTTCCCCCCGGGGCCCGATCTGCCGCCGGCGGGGAACGGGCCTCTAGGGCAGGGGTTTCCCCACCCCCCCGGGGGGACTTGGCAAGCCTAGTTCTGGCCCCCGGGCTTTATGTTTGGCACCCCTGAAGTACAGGGTTCACACACCTGAATGCTCCTCCATGTACAAAAAAGAATCAGCCTGAGCAGAAGACTTATAGTTAGTCCTGACACACTAGTTGTCTTATATGGAGGGGTTTGTTGCTGCTGTTGTTCATGTTGTATGCAGGAACATTCTGTCACATGGGCTGCACATGCAACTGGAAATGATACCCAAGGCTGCCAGTTCAGGCTTCATTGAGGACTAGGCCTTGGAGATAGTAATTTGATATATTTTTATGGTATGGTGCTGTATGGCTTACCTTGACCTGCCTGGCCCAGACTTCCCTTGTCTCTTCAGATCTCAGAAGCTAGTATTTGGAAGTTAGTATTTGGAAGGGAGACCCCCAAGGATGTCCAGGGACACGACACAGAGGCAGGCAACGGGAAACCGCCTCTGAATGTCTCTTGCCTCAAAGACCCCATGGGGTCGACAGACGTTGTCTGTGACCTGATGGCACATTCCGCCGCCACCACCAGCACCAACACCTCATAGCTTAGATGCCCCTTCCTTTATCATCTCCACTTCCATCTACTTACTTTCACTGGGCATTGTCTTCGAGACTCTTTGGATAGCCACGAGGGCTGGAAACTTGTGGTCTTTTTAAAGGAATGCTTTCGGGATACTGGATATTGCGCGGGGTGCCTTGTGTCCCATTGCAGTCCACACACACAGCCCCTCTGGTTGAGGACAGCCACGGTCTCCACTGTGCTGGCGCCTTCCTTCACTTCTCACTCCCGTGGGGCAGGAGACAAGTTGGTTTATCTGTAAGCACCGCCGGAAATGGTTTGGAATGCTTTGCACTGCTTATTGACGCATCGTTTTCAGGGCGCGATCACACGCACAATTAGCCCCGCCATAGACACAGAGGCCAGGCGGATTTAAAGGGCGCGATCAGATGCGAACCTCCGGGAAGCGCCTGGTACCCATCAGCAACCCGTTTTGCTCCACCGCAGAAGCGGAGTAAAAAGACACAGGGGAAAGTCTGGTAGCAAACGGGTTGCTAACGGGCCACAGACGGACTTTCCCCTGTGTGATCGCTCCAGCGCGCTCTCATGGTGTCGGGATGGTCTGATCACGCCATCCCGACTCCGTGCCATTGTTTTTTGCCCTTCTCAGTATGCACATCATCACATACTGGCATAGGGAGTCCTCAGTGTGGAGCAGTGTTCCCTCTAAGCTGAGTGAGTGTGAGCTAGCTCACAGTTTTTTAGCCTCTGGCTCACACATTTCTGTCTTAGCTCAGGAAGGATGGCTCCAGAGCAAACTAATATATGCAGCAGCCAAGTGGCTCGCTCACAACTTTAATGCCAGTAGCTCACAAAGTAGAATTTTTGCTCACAAGACTCCATAGCTTAGAGGGAACATTGGGTGGAGATGTGATTCACTGATCCCCCGCTTAAGCGGATCGGAAACAAACGGCAAAAAAGCCCCACAAACCCCCAACTCACCCGCGATTGTGTTTGGTCACGCAGTGGGCGGGCTGTGCCCGCAGCTCCCATGGACTGTGTGATCGCGCAATTGTGGGTCTATATAGCCCCGCTTCCCCTCCCCACTTTATCTCACTCGTGTGACCGCCACCTCAATTGACTTATGAATGTGCCTGTTGGGATTGTTGAATTTTTAAAAATTGATTATGAATGTATTTATTGAATTGTTGTTCACCGCCCTGAGCCCTGTGCACAGGGGAGGGTGGTCTAAAAGTTGAATTTCATAGAATCATAGAGTTGGAAGGAACCTCCAGGGTCATCTAGTCCAACCCCCTGCACAATGCAGGAAATTCACAAATATCATCCCTTCACACCCCCAGTGACCCCTGCTCCATGCCCAGAAGATGACAAAAAACCTCCAGGATCACTGGGGGCCAAACTGACCTGGAGAAAAATTGCTTCCTGACCTCAAAGTGGTGATCAGCATTTCCCTGGGTGTATAAGAAAGGGCCACGAGAACTAAGCACTGAGGCAGCCCTTCCTGCCCTCTCCCTCATGATCTGCCTAAGTCCACAGAATCAGCATGGCTGTCAGATGGTCACCCAGCCCCTGTTTGAAAACTTCCAAAGAAGGAGAACTCACCACCTTTCCTAATAGCTGTCAAAGCCAGGGACAGGGAGAAGGAGATCGAGAGTGATGGGCAGACACAGGGAGCTTGGGAGCTCTTGCTGTCTTCTGATGATGTGCTGCGTTCTTCCCTTGCAGACGGCCCCTTCCCAGAGGATTTCTCGGTGCTAACCACCCTGCGAGCCCTAAGAGGCAGCCAGTCTTTTTTGTTTTCCGTGTTCGACGTTCGGGGAGTGCAGCAGCTCGGCGTAGAGATCGGACGCTCGCCCGTCTTCCTGTATGAAGATCAGCATGGCCACCCAGTGCCCGAGGAATATCCTCATTTCCACAGAGTCAACATGGCTGATGGGAAGTGAGTGTGGGGTGGGCGGGAAAAGGCTACCGACAGTAGTGGTCTAAGGGTCAAAACTGATGAGAAGATGGGAGCCTGGGTTTTCCCAGCATCTTTTTGAGCTAATCTGCAGTTGCTAGAGCCAGTTTGGTGTAGTGGTTAGGAGAGTGGACTCTGATTCTGGGAGAACTGGGTCTGATTCCCCGCTGTTCCACGTGCAGCTGCTGGTGTGACATTGGGTCAGTGACAAGTTCTCTCAGAGCTGTTCTCTCATGGGCAGTCCTCGAAAGAGCTCTCTCAGCCCCACCTACCTCACAGGGTGTCTGTTGTGGGGAAGGGAAGGGAAAGGCAATTGTAAGCCGCTCTGAGACTCCTTCGGGTAGTGAAGGGCAGGGTATAAATCTAGTCTCCTCCTCCTCCTCCTATTTTTTCCTTGCCTTAATTCAAATTGGGGCCATGCAGGGGGTTGGATCTACTGGAACCTTACAGGGCTGCCAACTCCAGGTTTGGAATTTCCTGGAGGTTTGGGGTGGAGGGCCTCTCCCTGCAATCTTAATTCCTGAGTTGGAACATACAGGAGAAGGCGGTCCTTACAGATAACCTGGTCCCAAGCCATATCGGGCATCCAGTTCGAATTATAGCCACTATTCTGATTATGTAGGTACATCTTGGCCTTTTAGCAGTGCAAATGAAAGCAGTGCTACACCTGTCTAAGGCCACTGTACTTAGAAGTGCTTAACTCTGCTTACAACTGCCCTGCAGAAGATGTACATCAAAACTGTTACATGGCAGTCCCCTCTGTTGTGAATACTATGAGGCTTTTAAATTCCATTGCATCGAGATGTGAATATTCTGCCTTTTCCACACCACAATTCCAGTGCTTTGCTGCACAAGCCAATCCTCAAACTTTACTTATTCCTTCTGCTTTGTTGCGATAGAGTATGTAAAGTGTTGGGTTTGGTCATGGGAAACCCCAGTTTCAAATCCCTATGCGGCCATTCGCTTTTCTGGGTGGTCTTAGCGTGTTCTCTCTCCACTGCTATTTCCCAGCCTAGCCTACCTCCTGGGGAACGTTGAAAAGAGAAGCAAGATTAACAGTGCAGCCTACCTCCTGGGGAACGTTGAAAAGAGACGCAAGATTAACAGTGCAGTCCTAAGGAGTGTTGCTCTTTTCTAAGTCTACCAACTTCAGTAGGTTTAGAAGGGTGTATCTCTGCATAGGATTGCATCGTAAGCATCTCAGGGGTGATTAATAACTACAAAGCTCCAGCCCAAGATTCAGCCAATTAGTTCAATTCCGTACATCAAACGACCTGTAGCAGATTGTTCGCTGGACTTGGAAAGGGGAGATGCAAGTTCAGATCCTATAAAGCTCCTTGGGTGGCCTGAGGTTCTAGCGATTCCTAGCTCTATTCCACAGGGGTAAAACTGGATAACCTTGTGTGTGCTTCCCCGAGATCCTTACAAAGGAGGTGGAGTAGAGATGTGATCAGTAAAGAAATATAACAGTGTTATATTTCAGTTATGACCTCTGTAACTTCTCTGACCCACAATACCCCAGCCTCTCCATTGCCTTCATGGCAACAGCATGTAGCTCCCCACCACCACAGCCATGTATGAGCCCCACCTTGAGCTCTGTTCTCTCTTTGGTCTTTCCAGGCTCCCCCTCTGCTTAGGGTGAAACTTAGCTCACAGGCCCAAGACACATGGGCACAGAAACCAAGGCTCATACTGCTGTTGCATAGCGGTTAGATTGCTGGAGTAGAACTGGAGAGGTCCAGGTTCAGATCCTCATCCAAGGGTCACTGAGATGAGACAAAGTCTACATGTCTTGGTCTGTCCATAAAATACATATTGTTTGTGTCTGCAGCCCCAATTTGCCTTTGGGCCATGCAGGGAGAGGGTGTTTAACTCTTCAGCCTCCACTTAGTTCTGCTGTTTGAAACTGGCCTCCCTGCCTTAAGAGAAAAGGTGTGTCCTTTAAAGCATACATTTCCCCCCTTTGGAATGCTCATAGCAACAAAAGAAACTCAGTTTCAAGCAACAAAGCTGAACAGCAGCTAAAGTGTTTGCATGGTCCCAAGGCAAACTTCCTTCTTTCCTTCTTTGCATGGTCCCAAGGCAAACTGAGGCTGAACAAGCCTGCATCTTGTATTATGACTCTTCAAGGGATCAGCGTACCCTATTAGGTTGTTCTGAAGGAAAAAAAGAGGAAGAGAGAACCATGTACCCTATCCTGTACTCCGCAGAGGAAGGATGAAAATTTAATTGACAAGTACATCATAGAATCATAGAGTAGGATTGGAACCTCTGGGGTCGTCTAGTCCAACCCCCTGCATTATGCAGGAAATTCACAGATATCCCCCCCACCCCCACCCCAGTGACCCCTGTTCCATGCTCAGAAGATGACAAAAAAACCTCCAGGATCCCCGGCCAAACTAGCCTGGAGAAAAATTGCTCCCTGACCCCAAAGTGGCGACCAGCATTTCCCTGTGGGTGTAAGAAAGGGCCATGAAAACTAAGCACCGATGCTTAGTTAGTTTCTCTTCTCCTAGTTCTGGTTCTGTTTCTCCAGGTCATTTTCATCTCCATTCACTCCTTTGCCTTTCCAGATTCCCACAGCATTTTTAGTGAGTGTATCCATCAGCAACATTTACAGCTCCGATCCCATTAAAGCTTTAGCCCAGAAAAGCTGCAGGGGGTTGGTTGCTTGTTGCCCTGAGCACACAGTGATGGGAGCAGAGGTCGATTCGGGGGGGGGATCACGGGGGATTGCAGTTCCCCCGGGTGAGGTGTGGGGGGCGGGGCACACGACGAAGCCCCGCCCCCTGCTTTTGGCCACCCCACTTCCGGCCCTCATTCAGCCAGGAGGAGGCAGGAGAAGAGGGAGGGTAAGTTGCTTCCTCCCCGCCTCTCCCCACCCCTGCCTGCCTGGGGCCAGGGAGGGCCTTGGCGGGGCTTCCTCGCCCTCCCGCCGGCCTTGCAGGTCCACCGCCGGGCCCCTGATGTCAGGGGGTGTGGCATATGCTAATGAGTTATGCTAATGAGTCCCCCTAGCTCTTTTTCTATGAAACGACCCCTGGATGGGAGCAAATGTCCCATTTGTTTCAGGAACTGGCCTGTCTTGTACTTGCTTTCGGGCTTTAGCACTGTGTGCAGGTCTGAAACTGAATGTACTGAATGAGGCTTAGATTCAATTTGTCCTCTCACTCTAATGTTGCTGGAAGATACTGCCCCAGCAGGAAGTTTCAGTTCCTCCGAATCCTTGAAGAAAAGAAGTCCACAGGGTATGGCGGGATGAACCGCATCTGCTAGCCACACACCATTCATTCTCTTGATTCGACGTTGCTCTGAGAATTGGGACAAAAGTAAGGTCTCGGCATCTGGCACCTTCCTTGTCCTGGTGCGTGGATCCCCAGCCTTTTTGAACCTGTGAGCACCTTTGGGATTCTGACCCTGGGTAGTGGGTGTAATCTCAAAAATGGCTGTCGCAGGAGGCGGAGCCAGCCGCACAGAGGAAGCCCAAGTGCAAAGGAGAAGAGGGGTAATTAAAAAGAAATACACTGGGAAGGAGAGAATGAAACCCAAGACAGCGATACCAGGCTAGGCCAATCTCGTCAGATCTTGTTAGCTAAGCAGTGCTGGCTTTGGCTAGTATGTGGATTGGCAACCTCTAAGGAACACCAGGATCATGATGCAGAGGCAGGCAATGGCAAAGGTAAAGGTTCCCTTGCTCGAAAGCCAGTCGAATCCGACTCTAGGGTTGCGGTGCTCATCTCCGTTTCAAAGCCGAAGAGCCAGCGCTGTCCGAAGACGTTTCCGTGGTCATGTGGCCGGCATGACTAAACACCACGGCGCACGGAACGCTGTTCCCTTCCCACCAAAGTGGTACCTGTTTATCTACTTGCAATTTCTTGCTTTCGAACTGCTAGGTTGGCAGGAGCTGGAACTAGAGACGGGAGCTCACCCTGTCTTGCGGCACCCGGGTCTTGAACCGCTGAAATGTCTCTTGCCTTAAAAACAAGTTTAGCTCACCACCTAGTGGTGCATAACTTTAAAAGAGCTAGAGCTTCTGGCTGCCAGGCAATCTGACAATGTCCTTGCTATACTACACACAATGCATAATAATGATGATGATGATGATGATGATGATGGAGATTGTATGTATACCCTGCCTTTCACTACCTGAAGGAGTCTCAGAGTTGCTTACAGTCTCCTTTCCCTTCCCCTCCCCCTCCCCAAAATACACACCCTGTGGGGTAGGTGGGGCTGAGAGATTTCTTTCAAGGACTGCTCTTAAGAGAACAGCTCTGAGAGAACTTGCGACTGACCCAGGGTCACACCAGCAGCCGCATGTGGAGGAGTGGGGAATCAAACCCAGCTCTCCCAGATTAGAGTCCACACTCCTAACCACTACACCAAACTGGCAACAACAACAACAACAACAACAACAACAACAACAACAACAACAACAACAACAACAACAACAATAATAATAATACACTGATAGTAGCTGTCACTGAAACAACATTGCTTTAAAATGTCCAGCCCATTGGATCTCCAGTGGCCACTCAGAAGCAAGAGCCCCACAAGTCTCCACCCACTTTCTAAAAACACTTTGGGGGGGCACCAAGAAAGGTATCAGTGAGCACCGTGTTGCCCACGAGCACCGTGTTGGGGACCCCTGTCCTAGCGGAGACCCAAGTATCTGACTTGTGCCATCCTTTGACAGGTGGCACCGCATAGCTCTGAGTGTGGAAGGTGCGAATGTATCCCTGAGTGTTGACTGCGGAGACCCTATGACGCTGCCCCTGGAGAGGGACGCGCATCCCGTCGTCAGTGTCGAGGGCATCGCCTTACTTGGGGCACGGCGGCCAGATGAAGATGTCTTTGAGGTAGGGATGCTTCAGACCGCTCACCTTTCCTCTCTTGCGTTTCTTTTGCTTGTGTAACATGCACTACACTCACCTATATTGTGAGGCACTCTGACCCCAATATTGATTTTATGTACATCATTTATACTGCACCTTTCTCACTGAGACTTGAGATAGATTACACAGAGTAAGTCTATGCAATCAACAGGTCGGGACATCCAGTAAACAACGGAAGAGGATTTGAATTGCAGAACTCTCTAACCAGCCGGAAATTCTGAAGCAAGCATATGTATTAACATCAGGGGTATTTTGGGGCAGGGACGCACAGGAACAGAGTTCCGGCTGGCTTCAGAGTTGGCCACGCCCACTACACAGTCAAAACCTCTGTGTACGTGGCTACAGAGGGAAGGACTGGAGAGCGACCCTCCCCGGCGACTTCGAGGCGGGTGGGCCAGGGCCCCCCTGGAAGGATTGAGGAGTCATTTAAATGCCTCCCCGTGCCTTCCCCGGCCTGTCCAAGGGCTGGCTTGCCTGGGTGCCCCACAGCTGTGGGGCGCCAAGGCATGCCAAGGGAAGACAGTTTAAACTGCCTTTCCTTTCCTTCAAGGGGGGGCTTGCCCAGGCTCCCCAAGGGAAGGCATGGGGGCGTGGCCTAATATGGCAACGAGCTGTGCTGTCAGGGGGTGGA